ATAATAACGTAGAAAACCCGCTGAACATCGTATGTTTCTTCTATGATGTCATTTAAGTAATTTTTTAAAATAATGGACGTCATTTCAGTTTATTTGTGTTGATATCGCTAGAAACGCCAGAAGCCTTTATTGTTTACAACGGGAAAATGACGGACACGCGGTAATTTGAAAGTCGCTCGATCATATAACGATCATAAATTTTTGTTGTAATTTAGGGATGACATCTACAAAAACATTTGATAAAAATCAGCAGACGAACAGAGAAAAGAAAATTTCACGATCATTTGTGTTAAAGTGGCATAAGAAATTTAGTGATGGACATTACTTTGAGAAGCAGTAACCGTCATTGACTGCGTAACGTTGAAGCACAAGTTGTACGTTAATATTATGACGTTGACGTCAATAATTTTTTGGAGTGCGCCGCTGTCGCCGACATGTGTTTATGTAAAATTAAATATTGTTGGAATGTAAAAAGCTACTCACATGATTTTTTCAGTGTTAATTTGTTATTAATGCTTCTAAGCAGTGTAAGAATTTCAAATTAATATCTCAAATATATTTTACGCAACAAAGAAAGTCCACGAATTTTTGGATAACCCCTCGTATATAAGGAAAATCAATGACCCCCGGGGCGGGGCCAGTTTTGACCCCTGGGCTTTTATTTGAACATACTTGGTAGACACCCATTAGAACATGTCTCATGTTAAATATCTTAGCTCTAGCTCTTTGGGTTCTTTAAAAGAAGATTTTATAAGTTTTTACTATATGCATATAAGGAAAATCAATGACCCCCTGGGGCGGGGCCAATTTTGACCCCAGGGCTTTTATTTGAACAAACTTGGTAGACATTCACTAGAAGATGTTTCATGCCAAATATCTAAGCTCTAGCTCTTATGATTCTTTAAAAGAAGATTTTTTAAGTTTTTACTATATGCATATAGGGAAAATCAATGACCCCCGGGGCAGGGCCAATTTTGACCCCAGGGCTTTTATTTGAACAAACTTGGTAGACATTCACTAGAAGATGTTTCATGCCAAATATCTTAGCTCTAGCTCTTTGGGTTCTTTAAAAGAAGATTTTTTAAGTTTTTACTTTATGCATATAGGGAAAATCAATGACCCCCTGGGGCGGGGCCAATTTGGACCCCAGGGCTTTTATTTGAACAAACTTGGTAGACATTCACTAGAAAATGTTTTATGCCAAATATCTAAGCTCTAGCTCTTACAGTTCTTTAAAAGAAGATTTTTTAAGTTTTTACTATATGCATATAGGGAAAATCAATGACCCCCTGGGGCGGGGCCAATTTTGACCCCAGGGCTTTTATTTGAACAAACTTGGTAGACATTTACTAGAAGATGTTTTATGCCAAATATCTAAACTCTAGCTCTTACGGTTCTTTAAAAGAAGATTTTTTAAGTTTTTACTATATGCATATAGGGAAAATCAATTACCCCCCAGGGCGGGGCCAATTTTGACCCCAGGGCTTTTATTTGAACAAACTTGGTAGACATTCACTAGAACATGTTTCATGCCAAATATCTAAGCTCTAGCTCTTTGGGTTCTTTAAAAGAAGATTTTTTAAGTTTTTACTATATGCATATAGGGAAAATCAATGACCCCCGGGGCGGGGCCAATTTTGACCCCAGGGCTTTTATTTGAACAAACTTGGTAGACACTCACTAGAAGATGTTCCATGCCAAATATCTTAGCTCTAGCTCTTACAGTTCTTTAAAAGAAGATTTTTTAAGTTTTTACTATATGCATATAGGGAAAATCAATGACCCCCCGGGGCGGGGCCAATTTTGACCCCCGGGCTTTTATTTGAACAAACTTGGTAGACACTCATTAGAAGATGTTTCATGCCAAATATCTAAGCTCTAGCTCTTAGGGTTGTTTAAAAGAAGATATTTAAAGATTTTTCTTTCGGTTGCCATGGCAACCAGAGTTCTGCATGGAATTAAATTCTTTGAACAATTTTTAAAGGTGACCACCAAAGGAACATTCCTGTGAAGTTTGGATGAAATTGGCTCAGTGGTTTATGAGGAGATGTCATTTAAAGCAAAAGTTTACGGACGGACGACGGACGACGGACGGACGGACGGACGGACGCCGGACGAAAAGCAATCACAAAAGCTCACCCTGTCACTTTGTGACAGGTGAGCTAAAAAGGCCTTTGGGCAATATGTTTATATAAAGATTGAAATGAAAAGATTTCCTGCACCTTAAAGGCATAGTATGCCTCAGAATCAAACACATTTTTTACTTCTTTAGAAAGGGCAAACATGAAATTCATTATATTAACATTAAAATAATGGTATTAGAGCATGTTAGATGTTTGTTACCTGAATAAGTATACCTTAATGTGACAATCATAATGTCTTAAAAATAGGAAAATGTAGACAACTTCTATACAAAGTACTAAATCACTTTATCTGTGCTATGTCTAATTGTAAAAAAAAAACAGAAGAAAAAATGGCTACAATTACATATTGAGTTTTCATTTTTTCAGTTTATTATAAATATAAATAAATAATATCTAGCTGTCTGGGAAGAGAAATGGAAAATGTCGTTCCATCCAGACAAATGCCAAGTTCTCACCATCTCCAAGAAAAGAAGCCCCATCTGCCATAACTACACTCTTCATGGTCATACTCTAGAACACGTCACATCAGCTAAATACCTTGGATGCACCCTGAACAACCTAGACTGGGGCCAACACATACATAACATTTGTAACAAAGCCAACCGTACCACCAGCTTCCTGCGAAGAAACCTCAACATCGCCTCTACTTCAACCAAAGAAACGGCTTACAAAGCCCTAGTCCGCCCCACAGTAGAGTACGCGAGCACTGTCTGGGACCCCCACGAGAAGGGAGACATACACCGTCTAGACATGGTCCAACGACGTGCTGCACGGTATGTTAAAAACAAGTACCACAACAGGTCCAGCGTCACAGACATGCTTGCGGACCTTGAATGGAAATCATTACAAGAACGTCGAAAGGATGCCAGACTGATCATGCTCTACAAAGTCATCAACAACAAGGTCGCTCTAGACAATTCACAACTAATACCCTCCAACTCCACATCTACAAGAAATTCACACAACCTAACCTACAAGATACCCTACTGCCGTACACAATACCGTCAACAATCCTTCTTCCCACGTACCATCAAAGACTGGAACAGCCTACCTCCAGACACTACGTCAGCCGGTACAGTTGAGTCATTCCGTACTCATCTGTCCCAACTCTATATCTAAACCACACTCTTGTCCGTTTTTAACCTGCACTGTATATATTCCTCACTATTTTTACTCTTTCTTTCCGTCTTGCGCATTAACCTGGCAGTAAACTTCAGTTAGTTGAAGGTGGCCAGTATATTGAAGAAGAAGAAGAAATTTTTTAAACATACTGAAATCTTTAAATACAACAGTAAGATAAAACTAAGGCCACAAAACAGACAAATATCTTCCCATAATATTCAAGTATTAAAAATAAATAAAAAATATATCCCTCATAAAAAATAATATTTCCTTTACTTATAAGGAAGTAAAAACACCAATAAGGAAATAAAAAATACATGTATATGTCTATAAGAGTAAATCAATGTACATGTATCAATAAATAGCCCAAGGTGTCAAAAACAATAATGTGACATCTGCCATTAAATTCTTTAATTCATTCATAAAAAAATATGTTATTGATTTTTTCTAATATGACACATGTGATGTGTAAAATCACCTGATACAAGAAGAAAGGAAAATATATCCGGATTTTTTTTTTTAATAATTGCCTCCCCCCTCACATCCCCCCCCAAAAATGACATGTAATTCAACTTGAATCAAATTGATTTGTTATAAATTCAAATCGCCATCATAATAAATATTGATTTTTCCCAAAATCTTTCAAATAAAAAATAAATAACAAGACAACACCTGTTGCAACTTCATTAAAATCAATCTTATCAATGGAAACTGGCATTATAAAATGTTTGAAAATTTATAAAAATCTAAAATAACTTGGGATTTAAGAAATTTATTTAAAATAAGAATATTTTTTTTAAATAATGATTAAAATATGGCAATAAAAAATGTAAGGGGTAAAACTTATTTCCTCTTTTAAAAATAACTACATTTACTAATTGGTATTTAAGAACATTTTGAAAATTGAATCACAACAAACTAGAAATTCAAAACAATCAAAAAAGCATTAACTAAAGTTTAACAAACCAACAGGGATGCATAAAATATAATCTTTCTGTCACCATAAAACAACATCTTTGTTTATACAAATAAAAGCAAAAGCAGCCATAAAAAAAAAAAAAAAAAAAAAAAAAACTCCTTTCAACTGATCAATATCCATGAAATGAAAAGTAAAAACATGCAAGATAAATGTAAAGCACAAATAATCTGCTGGAACTGAAAATGATTCCCCCTTTGAAAAATTAGATATACATCAAATAGGGCCCTAAAAAATTTAAATTTTTGGGGAAATTTTTTCAATTGAAAAAAATTTCCAAACGAAAGAAATTTTAAAAGAAATTTCCCAAAATTTTTTTTAACCTTACAATCCAATTTTTTTGTGGTTAAAATAATAAATTTGCTGAAATGAAATTTTGGGAAAATTTTTATTCAAAAAATTAAAAACAAAATTTTTAATGGCAAAAAATATTTTTAAATCAAAAGTAGTAAATCTAAAATTAAATTAAAAAGAAATTTTTAAAAGATGCAAACACTTTGTTTAAAATAAAATGTTTTATTTTTAAAAAAAAATTTTGAAAAAAAAAATAGTTAATTTTTGAAAAAAAGGGTAAAAAGGAAAAAAAATAAACCCAAAGTTTTAAAAATTTTAAAAAATTTAAAAGCTATAAAAATACCATTAATGAATATACATATTAAAACATTTTAAAATTTAAATAAAAAAATTTTTCAAACACATTTATTTTTTTCCAAATACAATTAACAAAATTTCCTTCCAAAATTTTATGATAGTATTATTAAATTTTCTTGTGACTCTTTAACTAAGTTTTTGAACTTCAAACTAATAAATTAAATTCCTGTTATGATACTATAATTTTACGATTAACAGCATCTGTACTGACCGCTGAATGTTTAGATGGTAGAATTTAACATATATAAATTTACCTTTGTTTTGTTTTATTAGAAATTTGGCAGTGATTATCAGGCATTATTGCTCCTTTATCAATCACACGATAAAGTTAATATTGCAGGTTAATAATATCAAAGGTATTGCTTTAAAAATGTTTACAAGAGACGCTTTTACTGAACACGCTGCAAGTTGATGTGATAGTGAATCTATATAAGAAAGAAAACCATCACTTGCTTTAGTTGACCAGATACAAGAGTTTAGACTGAATTAATATTCCTTAACTCTGTCAATGAAGTTCCATGGTACACCAATATCGGCAAGGCCTTTAGGAGTCATGAATTTCTGAACACGAGCCATAACACTAACTTTGTCCCAGCATAATTCTGACAGCTTCGGCATAGTTAGTGGAAGTCTTATTTTGTAAAGGAATGGAGCCCTGTATCCATCCTTATGAACACCACCGAACACATACATGTGACCAGAAGGGGAACAAACTGCACTGTGAAAGTACAAAGGGTCTGGGAGTTTCATTGCAAGCTTTGTCCATTGAAGAGTGTCCAATCTAAGATGCCAGATATCTGTGAGGGATCTGTGTTCAATGTCATTGTTATAATGCCTTCCTCCGCTTATATACACATTATTGCCTTCCTGTGCACATCCAAAACTGCATCGTGGGAGTGGGAAGCCATGGACAGAATCTGGTAAAGTAACATGTTCTGACCAATGGTTTCGAGCTATATGGTAGATGTACACTTTATCAAGGCTCTCGGCATTGTGAAGTCTTCCACCTCCAAGCACATAAAATCTGAAAATCAAACAAGATTTCTACAGTTAAAAACTAAACAAGTATTTTATTATACTTAGGTATCAAAATTAATGTTATGTTTGGAACAAACTTATGTCATATATTCGTTAATGAAATCTCAAACTTGTAAAATGTCATAATTCTGAATATGCTAAAATATAGTTAAATTTTCAATAAAGTTATAACTTAGGTACACAGATATAGTCATATACATCATTTTGTATGTTATAACTTATATATATATATATCACATGTGAAACTGGTTGGCAAATCATTAAATAAGTTAAGTCATTGACAGTGTTTATTTTGTTTTATTATATGTGACTTTTGTCCAGCACTTATTTTTCTTTTTTTTCTTAAACAAAATGTTGTACAATAAGTTCATTACCTTTCAGCATCTTTGACGACCTCCTTTTTAATCTTCCTTTGGAAACTTTTCCCCAATCGAATTTTTTCCCCGACTGTACTGAAACTCAATTTTGAAATTTGCCACAGCTTCGCTTTAAAACCCTACTGCACCCCCCGAAACAAAAAACGCCCCTCTTTTTTGGAAAAACAAAATTTGTCCGTAAGCTGGAGGCCGTTTCGTCTTCCACGTGCCACCCCGCTGTACGACATTGCATTTGTTTCAAGTAACTGCCAGCATAACTTAATTTTTGTTTTTTCACTGCAATCTTCACCAGCAGCTTGTAGATTGGCTGGTTGCTTCATTCTAAGTGTTTTTATTGTGTTGCTCATAATTTGTCCAAATGGGTAACCAGTCCCACCGAAAACAAACACTTGTTTGTTATGCACCGCAATAGAGGCTGAGGCACATGTAGTTGGAATGTTTTCTGATTTTACATTTGTCCATTTTTGAGATGCAAAGTTAAATTTCCACAGTTCAGGTAAAACTCGACTTTGTCTTACTCCGTTTCTTTCGTCCATTGGACTGTATCCTCCGAAAACATAGATATCTGACTCATCTGAACACATGCAATGACCACTGCGACCTTTTGGCCTTTTTGCGTCGTACGGCTTAAATCTTGGATTAACATTCTTGAACTTAACTGTGCTAGAACACGATGCTCTTGCCATTTTATCTGTCAAACTCCTACCCGACGCCATCTTTGATTTTGTTTATGTTTACCTGTAACTCGGTTATTTCCGTAATATTTCCGGCATTTAACGGAAACAATAAGGGTCGGACTACACTGCTGACGAATCGTCTAATAATGGAAACTGTTGACCAATTGAAGATTCGGTGGGAGTTGTACAAAATCGATGGGAAACTAATTTTATTTTTGTTAAAAGTTTTTTTTTATTATTATTTTAATATGGATCTACTGTATTTTTTTCGGGGGGGGGGGGGGGGTGTGCTTTTTTTCCTTTTTATTGTAAACTAAAACAGTTTTTAGAAATGAAATAAAAAGACAACACATTATAAATTATACAAGTTACAAGTTTTCTCTCAGTGGCGGATTCAGGCCCGGGGTTCAGGGCTGCAGCCCCACCCCCCACCCCCCATCCCAGCTTGGCCTAAAGATACGTTTACCAGCTGGGCTGGAATATATTTTTGTCAGTTTCAAACTTTATTGGCTGTAGTGTACTCCCTTATCAAAACATTAATTGCTGTCATCCAGTTGTTAATCTCCTGCCTGGGGGCTTGGTAGAGATCTTTATCTATCAACATGCTTGAATGACTTCAATGTTTAAACTGCATAATTGATTGGTTTTATTACTTTCCAAAGGTCTAATGAAATTAATAGTCACAGATAGTGGCAAATACACTGTAGATGTGTTACATTGTACACCATATTTTACTATCGTTGTTTTTCAATTTTCTTTGCGAAAGCCCTATTATTAAAAAATTGAAAATTATTATTGTAAATGAAAAAGGTGATAAGTTTTATACTAAATGATTCGCGTTTTAAATAATAACTAGTTTTTCTAAGATTTTTATTCAGATGAACTGATTGGTCAATAATTTGCTTTTAACAACTTTTTTTATTGCAGTTATATTTTTTAAATAAAATTTAAATTGTACTGACCTCTTTAGTATCTAAAATGAATTCATTGATGGAAAAAAATCTAATTGAATACGGTATATATGTTTGAAATTATTTTTTTTTTACAATTGAAAAGCAGTACTTTAATATCACTTAATTTGGTAAATCGTCTATTATTCAGAGGTTTACATTGATCAAGTGTTTAAAAGATATTTTTATCAACAGTCGCGCAAACATTGATTAGTGTGCTGTTATTTTGTAAATGCTTAATACTAAACACCGGGGGAATTCTATTTGAAATACCCTTCAAACACTTATCTGTAAAACCATCCAAAAGGTATCATAAACAGCACTAGAAAGTCAAGGAAATAACACCATTTTCAACCTCATATTTCAGAATTTTCTCAGTCTATGGGAGGGGACACCCCTCCCAGGTCCACCCCAATTACATATATTTTTCCAAGATATTGGCCCAATCTTCAAACATGCATAATTTTCGCCTGTTGCATTATTTTTGTCAAAATCTTCCACCCATACGTCAGCCCCCCCCCCCAGGAAACCATGTTCTGTATCCTCCCCTGTCTCTATATTCTTTTTCCTCTTCTTACAAATCAAATCAAATCAAAATTTATTTATTGTCGGTATACATATAATTATAACATTTTACAAAACATAAGCTAGACAGAAATTCACGGTACGCAGATTTAACGTACTGTGCATTATGCAAGAAACTGCAAACTGCAGACAAGGTACTGTAATTAAGATATATAGTTTCAAAGTTTCAAAGTTTATTTCAGAACTCAATTCATGTACACACATGACAATATGAGCTATAGCATATAAACGTACATTACATAAAGAGGCATAGCATACACATGAAAATAATAATATTAATACAATTCATCTTAACAAAATGGAGAGAAACACGCATTTTCAAGGACATGATAAACAAATATGTAGAAATGTTAACTATTCTCAAATTTTGTAATTATTTCCTTAACAAATAAACAAAAATTTCTGTATTCATTACAATGAGTCATATTCATATTCATAATAGATTTAAAAGTTAATATATTTGGATGTCTTAAATAATTATGATCTAGCATTCTTTTTCTTAGTACAGATAATTCATTGCATTCAAAGAGATAATGGAATTCATCTCAATACTTCCGGAGCTTGTTACAAAGAGTACATTTACGTAAATTTAAATCTATACCATTCCAACTTCCGGTTTTCTACAGGAAGTCTGCTGTTTCTTGTTCTAAACTTAATTACATATCTTAATAAGTTTTTTGGTGTATTTATTAAATAGGGTTCGAAATGGAATGTTTCTTTAAATAGTCTATAATTTTTACATTTACTTGATTCGTTTACTGTACAATACCAGTCATTTAAAAATATATCTGACAATTTTTGCTTAACATTGGCAACTAACCATTTGTGATTAGGAAACATCTGATAGGTCCATACATTAGGGTTTCCACATTTAACAAGTATATTTTTTATATGCTTAAACCACAAGAAATGTCTGTCTATTAACATTTACTACTTGTATTATAAGTTTTAAGAGCAATTTGATAAAATGTGCTAGACAATTTTAATTCATTAGGTACAACTAGATTAGACCAAAAAATAATCATTCTGCAAATCAATATCAATAGAAATTGGTTAACACCCACATTCGCCGTACACAATACAATTTGGTGTACTAGATTTTAGGCCTAATATATGTTTAAGATATTTCAATTGTACTTTTTCAAGTATACTGTTATTCCCATATCCCCAGCATTCACAAACCATATAATAAAATTGGTTTTACAAGTTTGTCAAACAAATCTATTTGCATATCTAAAGGTAATTGAAGATTTTTTGATTTTTTAATTAAACAGTACATGGCTTTAGTTGCTTGGTTAGCTATATAGGTCTTTGCTTTTAGGAAACTACCACTCCTACTAAATAATATTCCTAGATATTTGAATTCCTCGACAACTTCTAGATTTTCATTACCATATGTAAAACTATACTGCGTTCGCCTACCTTTTTGAAAATATAAGAAACTTTTGTTTTAGATGTATTAACTGTTAATTTCCATTTGTCACAATAACTTTTATATAGGTTAATAGCTATTTGTAAATCGTTTGCTGACTCAGATAAAATAACCGTGTCGTCAGCATATAGAATAATAAAGCAATTTTACAAGTCCAAGTACTTCATCATTAAATGTTACACCCTTCTATACTGTTACTTATTTGAAAAATAATCATGCAAATCATTCAAATAAAAAGAAAAGAGCAACGGCGATAGATTTTCGCCTTGTCTAACACCAATGTTACATGGAAAGAAATCAGACTTTTCACCATTTGCACATACGCAAGTTTTCGCATTATTGTAAATGCTTTTGACAACATTTAAAAATTTTACCACTTATATTATTCTTATTCAGCTTTATCCACAGTCTTGACCTACTAATGGTATCAAATGCACTTTTTAGGTCTATAAAAGAACAAAATAACTTTTTCTTAGAATGGTGGAGTAGATCAATTAACATTTTTAAAACAAACATGTTATCTACAGTTGCAAACCCTTTTCGAAAACCAGCTTGATATTGATTTATTAGATCATGTTTATCCGCAAAATTTTGTAATCGTATATTCAAAACAGAGGTAAATAGTTTTCCGAAACAACTCAGCAGTGTGATCGGTCGATAGTTACTAGGCTCACTAGCCTCACCCTTATTTTTATATATGGGATTTATAACACCAACTGTCCAGGAATCAGGTATTACACCATAGTTAAAAATAATGTTAAAAAGTCTATAATAAATATGTTTCATGATGGGGAAGGAGTGTCTAATATGTTCATTTAAAACATTATCTAAACCGCATGCTTTATTGTTCTTAAGTAATTTTACTGCAAATTCAATCTCTTGCAAAGATATTTCTTTATTTAACATGTCATCATTGATTACATGTAAATCCGAGATATCGTTGTCAGAGAGTGTATAGTTGTCATTACTACAACTATTGATATTTTTAAAATAATTATACAGATCGTTTAATTCAGAATTAACAACGTTTTTCTTTCCACCATTTAGGATCTTCCAGTACTCTCTAGGACTTGATTTTTTTAAACTTTTAAGTTTTTTAACATTTGTCGTTTTAAATTGATTATAACTTTCCTTCAATTGTTTTTTATATATTTTGCTATTAGTTTTTAAAGTTTGTTTATAAACATCGTTTTTACGTAATTTGTACAAATATTTGGCTCGATGAAAATTTCGTCTAGCTGCTTTACATTCAGCATTTACCCAAGGCGGTAAAGGATTTATTTTCCGTTTATTACTGGAAGTTTGTTTTACACCATTTGTAATAAAGCTTTTTTCAATACTATTGCTAAATACTGAGCAAATTTCTGTTACTAACTTATTAACAATTTCTTGAGAACAGTTGTTAGTCTCCTGTATAGTGATTAATTCATCATATATTCTATTTACATTATCTGTATCTAAGTTATCAACAAACGTTTGAATATTATTTTGGTCCCACAATTTAGGTCTCTGGTTTTTGACAGTTGGTTGAGTCTTTACAAATGTATCCCTATGATCAAACACAACTTCAACAGGACAGTGAGCGTCAGAATACATGGGACAAAAATCTAAAACAATCAGTTTAGAAATAAAGGAAAACATGCTACTAGTACAAATAAATAAATCAATGGTACTAACATTTTTGCATGTTACGCAGCCACAGAGGTCACCATTTGTTCTTCCATTAAGTATATACATACTATTGTACTTTAAAAAATCAATAAGTTTGTTGCCATAATTGTTAACAGAGTTATCTTCACTGTTTCTTAATTTATGCACATTTGTACTAATAAATATATTTGTTTCTTGTTCTAGTTCATTATATAAGTCTATCATATCATTTTCTCGAAATATGTCAATATCTGGTTCGGTGATTTCTTGCATTTGTTTTAGTCTAGCATTCCAATCGCCGAAAATACAGAGTGTGTTTATATTTACTTGTAAAAGTATCCAATTCTGTTTGAATTTCTAAGAAGGGGTCGTCAGATGCAAACATCGAATTTTCAGGTGGCACAATAAACCACACCATTACAAAATATCACCGTTTTTGGTAAGACTATTTGAAATAACAA